TTAGGGCTTAGAGTTTTAGAGTTTAGTGGTTTGGGGTTTACGGTTTAGGGTTTGGGGTGTAGAGTTTGGCGTTTCAGAGCTTGGGCTTAGAGTTTAAGAGTTTATGGTTTGGGGTTTATTTAGGGTTTAGTAACTTCAGGGTTTGGGATTTCAAACTTCGGGGTTTAGGGTTGAGGTTTTTCCGACTGAGGAAGCCCTGTGCAGGCGGTCCTTATACGCAGGATCCGAGTTTGACCGGTCACGTCGGCCGAAATTCCAACTTTGGCTTGAGGCGTTCTAGTTGACCAAGAGCCCAGAAAGCCCAATACCCGTTAATTAGGCAATATACCTTAAACTAGAAGTGGCTGAATATCGTGGTTTAAGGTATATGGCTTATTGAAGGGCATTGGGTGCTCTATAGGGCCAATCTGTTGAAAGGATACAAGTATCCCCCCGATGGTCCATATGCAAGCGTGTTGTACTAAACCCTCAACCCTTTTTGCATCCAGGACTCTCGCAACCAAACCCTTAAACCCTAAAACCTAAGCCACATTCAACCCTAGCCTGGGTATTTTCAAAGCGCCGGTGTTCAGAATAAACTTCCCACTCCTATAAGCCTCTGACTGTCTGACTGTCTGCCGCCACGTGCGCCCAAAATCTAATATAATGTTCCGGACGGGGGGCTGTGATGGAGGAGTCTACCCAGAGAGCCCAATACCACTTAATTAAGGAATATCGCTTAAATCATAATATGAAGTTAATTAAGGGGTATTGGGCTCTCTGGGTACGGTTTTGGGGCTTTGCAAAGCGCTCCAGACCAACATGCGAAGTTATAAGAGACACATGTGTAGTTCTCTAGAATAGGGTCCCCGTTTGGGTCTCCACAAATTCGGGGCCCTAACAGGGACCCTAATTTAGAGAACTCATAGACTAGGCAGGAGCAGGGGAGGCTCGGCAGGGGCCCCAGCAGACCTTCCACTCTACACCTCAGGACATGTTTTGGCGGGTTTAGGGTTTAGGGTTTAGGCGGGTTTCTGCGCTGGGGCCTCGTTAAGCTTCAAGTGGTCTTCCGGATCTCTTCAGCGAAGCCTAAACCCAACATCCTTCACTGGGCTTTGGGATTTGGGAATAAGGGTTCTGGGCTTTCGGCTTGGATGCTTCTGGCCGGGGCCCGTTACTGTTGAGGGCATTTTGTGATCTAGTGCTCCGTGTTTAGGACACTTGGAGGCTCATGGGTAGTTATAAGTGGGGTTATAAGTCCCCTAATATGGGTTATAAGTATAGTTACCCTGCGTATAACCCACTTATAACTACCCATGCACCTCCAAGGAGGGTTTAGGATGAAGGGTCTGGTGTTTTCCCCAAGTGCCTAGAGGTCTTCCCGAGATCTCTCTCCCACGGTTTAGGGTTTAGGGATAGAACCCCAGTACTGTATTGTAATAGGAGCCTTTACCTATGCGGGCAGATGTAGACCTGTGACCCATTAACCTCCTTCCCTAATAAGGGTTGGCACCAGGGATCCTAATGTGAAGGCCTTCGGATTTTCTTGCGGCTCCTCAAACGGCCCTTGCATATCCCTGGTAACATCTTTATCCAACCTTACAAGTAGAAAGATGTTTTTTTGGGCAGAATCCGAGATCCTTGCAATGACCCAGTGCTTGTCCTTCAAGCTCTCTTCCTCAGTGGGAACTCTTCTGAGCGACGGCCGCCGGCGTCTGTTGAAACCGTCTAAGGCTCCTAGGGTTTAGGGTTTCCGGGCTGTGTTTAAGGCTTCATGCAGGTAAGATCTAACGAACAGATCGAGCGCAGAGTCCCATGTCGACCCTGATGGTGTTACTACTCGATAGTACTACGCTTCTCACTGCTGGGTACGTAGGTGGGAAGTTAAGTAGTCACATAAGTCTGCAAGTGAGCGAGCGAAGAAGGATATGAACCGTTGAGCCCGTGAGAAAGAGAGTCAGTGATGAACTGTGTCAGTGAGAACACAACAAGTAAGCACCGAGGTTCCTGTTTTGCTGCGGCTCCGCAAGCCCCCAGCAACGACCGAACAGGCAAGAGTGTCAGCCTGGAAGCCTCCCGAAACATGAACCAACCCAACTCGGTCCTTGTTAGGAAGGGGAAAGGGCTTCGACACTCACACTCGCACGCAGCAGGCAAGGGGAAAGGGTTTAGGGTTTAGGGTTTAGGGCTCCCTCCAAATATGAGGAAACCCAACCATAAAAAGCAACAAGGATCTCGCAGGATCGGCCAAGCAAAACCCCCTTCTCACCCACAAGTACAGGGGGGCCCTAATTAACCTTTGGCGTAGCTCTTCGGGGTCTCTTGCGCTGTAAGTACCCAGTACATAACAACTATAAGAGGGTACGAGTAGTTGGTATTCATTCCGACCCCTAGAATACCTAAACCCTAAACCCTAAACCCTGAAACCTAAATGTGAAACCTGCACCCTAAAATCTCCCAGACAAAGCACCTCGAGCCCTTCACCAGCCGCATTTCCAAGCTTCTTCAGCTCCTTCCCAAAGAGTCTGGAAAGCTTTTAGGACTCGGCTTGGGAATCTCCTCCTGCTGTTCATGAATGAAAGATATACTCTTTTCAGAGAGACTCGGAAGAGTACTTAAGTAAAGACAGCTACCCACTTGGGTGCAGACTTCATACGGAGGGGTCCTACCTGTAGTTTCCATTGTAGTTCCTTTGTTTGGTTAACCCGTTTCATGGCTAGGATCCTGTAACGGAAGCTGGGTTATATAACCAAAAATACTACAAATGGAGACCAGGTAGAGTTGATCTTGGAGGTTCATTAATTTCTAACTCTCGGGTGGCGGCCGAACTGACATGCAAGAGGACAGACATTGTTGAGTCTTTAGGGTTAGGGCTTACGGTGTAGGGTTCAGGGTTTACGGCTTAGTCTTTAGGATATCATACTTTCATGGGTCTTTGCTTGAGCAGGGTGCAGAAGTCTGACGACGGACTTTTAAATCCTGAGGCTTCTGAAGTCTTTGCATCCTAGGCTTCCTTCCTAAGCCACGCTTCTGTGAGCCTATCACGCATATCAGTCCTGCCATCTGCGCGAAAATCTTTATGAAATCTTCCACTTCCGAGATCTTCCTATTCACCCAGAGAGCCCAATACCCTTTCATTAAGGAATATACCTTAACTTATAAGGGGCTTCATATTATGATTTAAGCTATATTCCTTAAATCAAGGGGTATTGGGCTCCCTGGGCATGTCTGAACCAAGGAATGCGAGCGCCTGGAGCTTCCGGCGCCAGAACACTTCAAGTGTCCTAATGGCACTCAAGCTGGGAACAAGCTGCGAATCCCAGTGCCTTGGCTAGAGCTGCTTGGCGAGAACTCCTCTAAACCCTAAACCCTAAACCCTAAACCGGTTTAGGGTATAGGGTTTAGGGTTTTGAACTCCTTCTCGTACCACCGGCGCATGCGTCTCCGCAGTGTTTCGGTGCCATCGCCTCAGATGACGACGTTGCAGCAGAAGCAGGGCACGAAAGAGGCCTCAGGCAGAACAACTGTGTTTGTCCAAGCCCATTGTAGGTCGAGTCTACCCATAGGCCCCTAAGTAGTTCCTTTTTGGGCTTACCTTATAGGATTCTAAATATAAACCATAAAAAGGAACTACTTAGGGGCCTATGGGTACTCAGAAACTTGCTGCTTCTGGCTTCTGGTTCTGAAAAGGGCAATCAACAACGCAAGAGGATGAAGTGAACCTTCAACCGTACACCCTCGAGCCAACCCTCAACACCCCCCCCCCCCTCCCAAAACCCTTTTCGCAACAGGCTTTCCACTTCGCCCGGAGTTGGAGCAAGCAGCCCCTGAACCCTAAACCCTAAACCCTTAAACCCTAAATCCTCAAGGCAAAATCATCAAGCCTTCGTCCTCAACCATGCCCGGAATCATCAGAAATCCGTAAGCCCTGCAAGACCCATAGAACACAGAAGCCTTACCCGAAACCCTCCCATAACACCCCCCCCCTCCGCCCCCTCCAAAAAACAAATCCTACCTTTTCAAGGACATGTGGGTCAGTGTCAAGAGCTAGGCCTCTTTAGGGGATCCAAACTCTTGGGTGCCGTACTAAGGGTAGAGTTATATAGGCCCCTAAGTAGTTCCGTTGTATGTTTTATTTTTAGAATCCTATAAGGCAATCCCCAGAAGGAACGACCTAGGGGCCTATGGGTAGAGTTCTATAGGGCTCCCTAAAAGGACCATCACTTGGACAGCTGCCCATGTATTTTCTTGTCACCCACTTGGCACGCCTAATGACAGCCATATATTAGCAGAAATAAAACCTAAGGAGATCCGAGAAGGTACCTTTTCTTAGGCCGAAAGCCCTGCAGAACCCCAAAACAAAACTACAAAAGCCCTAAACCCTAAACCCTAAACTACCCGTAAACCTAAAATCCTAGGCCCTAAACCCCATAAACCCTAAACCCTAAAGCCCTAAACCCTAAACCCCTATACCCTAAACTACAAGCCAGGGTGCTCTTCTCCGGGCCGTTCTCGCAAAGAACTTTCCTGGTCGGGGAGTTGAGCTGCAGTGTAGGCTTCTATAAGGGTTTGCGGGCGCAGGGTATAGTTTAGGGTCTAGGGTTTAGGGTTAAGGATTGAGGGCGTAGGGTATAGCGCTTTGGGGGTTGAGAGCGTAGGGTATAGCTTTTCAGGGGTGGAGGGCGTAGGATAAAGTCTTTTTAAGGGTTGAGGGCGTAGGGTATAGCTTTTTGCAAACTTCGGGGCTTAGAGCTTTAAATAGGGTTTCGATACTCAAGCGGTTGCTATCAGGGACTTAGGCAGCTTGCTCTGGAGTCAAGGATTCAGGGGGTTTTGGGCGGATCGAGCTTGAAGTTGAAAGTCGTTGAGGGCTTTGACTGAAACCCTAAACCGTTAAACCCTTAAACCCTAAACCCCTAAACCCCTAAACCGACTGACACGTTCTAAAGTTGTTGGGTTTAAGGGGTTTTGTGTTTGAGTTATGTCGGTTCTAGGGTTGAAGGTTTAGGGCTTAGGGTTTAGGTTTGATAAAGGGCAATGTTTGTCCTAGGGTGGTAGGGTCCTAGAGCTTCGAAGTTGACAACTGAAGGTTCGCGGTTTACACTGCCCAGGGGCCTTATTAATTCGAATGGGTTTGGCAGGGTTTAGGGGTTTTTTTTTAGGGATACCGAAATCTCGCAAGTCGTGGCCCGACGCTGGAGCCCTGAAGCGTGAGCCACCAGCTTAGGCCCCCTAAACTTTTGAACTCTTATAACCTACGCTCCTGATCTCTAAACCGCTTAAACCTTGTAATTTATAATCCTTAAACTTTTGAACTCTTATAGCCTACACTCCTCAACCCCAAACCCTGATCCCTAAACCCTCATCCCTCGTCGCTACGTCCACAAACCTTAACCCCTCAACCATGGAAATGCTGAACTAACCCTAATTTCCGCATCCAGAAGCCCTCATCCCAAAAGCTTACACCCGGCCCTTGCCCTTGATCTCAGAACCCTACAAACCCTCGTGCCCCTTGAACCCTGCACCCTCATTCTTCAAATGCTACAAACCCCCTACCCCTTCAACCCAGAATCCTTAACGATTAAGCTAGATTGCCACCCCCCTCTTAGGATACTTAAATTCAACGCGATACACGTGTAAACCCTGCTGAAGCCCTGAACCCTAAGCCCAGTCCCCCTTAAGCAACGCCTAAGCACTATAAACCTCTCATGAAACAGCGTACTGAAGCCGTTTGGGGTGCCCTATAGGCGCTGTCACACAAGCCCTTCCAAACCGACACCGTAACCTCCTGAAAAACCCAGCCCTCAACCCCTAAACCCAACAAAGTATTGCAGCCAGAATACTGTACATCTCGAGCCTGTAGAACCCTTGTCACACTCTCCTGTAATCGATCTAAGAAGAAATACAACTCCTCCGAATACCAGCCATTGAACCAGAAACTCCAACCCCATGAACCCACAAAAACCCCGATGAACCCTCTAATCCTTGAGCCCAGAACAGAATAAAACCTTAGAGCTCTAGACTCGAACTAACCCCCACCTGGTGGGGCCCACCACATCCTAAATTCGAACCCCTCCGAAGAACTCTTGAGCCCTCCGAGGTTAAAGCCCCTGACCAAAAACCGTAAAGCACCCTGCCTAACCAACCCTAAAACTTTACGTACGTAACCCTAAATCCTAAACCCTAAAACCCTGAAAGCCCTTAGCCTCCTACTACAGTCTTCGAAAGCCTGAAACTCTGAAACCTTAAACCCAGAATCTAAAGCTTAAACCCTAAACGCAACCCTGACCATTCCAGAGTACTGGGAGGTTCATGGGTAGTTATAAGTGGTTATAAGTCCCCCTCCAAGTAGACCCTAAACCCTAAACCCTAAACTCCCTAACCTAAGCCCTAAAGCCCTTACCATTTCGGAGTATGGCCTCAACCCTAACTTTAAAGCTTAAAACCCTCAACGCAACCCTTACAAGTTCGGAGTACTGAGAGATAACTACCCATGAGTACCCATGAACCTCCAAGTTGACCCTAAACCCTAAACCCTGGAGCCCTAAACCCCTAAACCCTAAACCCTAAACTCTCTAAACCCTAAAGCCTTTACCATTTCGTTGTATGGCCTCGGGATAGTTACCCTACCTATAGCCCCATTTGTAGACCCTAAACCCTAAACCCTAAACCCTAACTCTAAAGCTTAAAACCCTAAAGCCCCATTTTGTTGTATGGCCTGCCCTGAACCCTAAACTCCCTAAACCCTAAACCCTAAAGCCCATACCATTTCGTTGTATGGCCTCGCTATAGTTGCCCTACCTATAGCCCCACTTGTAGACCCTAAACCCTAAACCCCAAACCTGAACCCTAAACCCTAAACCCGAAACCTGAACCCTAAATCCTAAACCCCAACCTGAACCCTAAACCTGAACCCTAATTCCTAAAGCCGAAACCTTCATGAATCTCCAAGTATGGCCTCGGCTTAATCATCGCCCAAAGCTTCGGCTCGGGGCCGGGCGCCGGAACCTCGGCCCCATCCTCAGGGCAAGGCCAGAAGGGATGTTTTAGGGATTTAGGGGGACCTTATAGGATTCTAAACATAAACCATAAAAGGGAACTACTTAGGCTTAGGGGCCTATGGGTTTAGGGTTTAGGGATTTAGGGTTTAGGGCTTAGGGTTTTAGGGTTGAGGGTTTAGGGATTTAGGGTTTAGGGGTTCAGGGATTTAGGGATTTAAGGTTTAGGGATTTAGCGATTTAGGGTTTAAGATTTAGGGTTTGGGGATTTAGGGATTTAGGGATTTAGGGTTTAGGGTTTTAGGGTTTAGGGTTTTCGGGATTTAGGATTAGCGATTTAGGGATTTAGGGATTTTGGGTTGAGGGTTTTAGGGGTTTAGGGTTTAGGGGTTTAGGGGTTTAGTGTTTAGGGATGTGGGGTTTTTTTCCCTCTCGCATTGCAGAGAGCGAAGCTCACGGGGCTTTTGATTTAAGGCTTACGTAGGGCTTAGTGTTTAGGCATTAGGCTAGAAGTGATGTACACCATCTTGTGTCAGATAAACGGCATATCAAGTTTGGGATTTAGGGATCAGGCTTTAGGGTTTAGGGTCCAGTCATTCGGTATATCACAGTGTACTAGCGTATTGTGAAGTGGGTAAGAGAACATACTACGGTGCAATATTTCATAGTGTAGCAGACTATATTACATCAGCCAGAGTACAGAATTTTATGTGTACGTACTTTACAGTGTATTGTACCCCTTCCTCCTTTTGTTCAAAGTTAAAGTTCTCGAGGAGGTGTAGAATTTTGAGATGTGAAGTTTGAGCTCTAAGCTAGGATTTGGGATTTTGGTGCCAAACAATCCTCCCTTAATCTGGGTACATAGTGGATCCTGATGTTCCGCCTCGGCAAGTAGCAGGACTCATGCATTAACCAAGCTTCTGTATTAACCTGGATTTGTTTTTGGTGAGGCACACTTTTGCTTAAACCCTAAACCTTAAACCCGAAACCCTAAAACCCTAAACCCTGAACTCTAAACCCTAAACTCCCTAAACCTTAAACCCTAAACCGTAAAGCCTAAATTCCCTAAGCTCTAAGCCATAAACTCCCTAAACCTAAACCCCTAAACCCTAAACCCTAAAACCTGAAACAGGAATTTGAGCTTCGGGTTGGGGCCCTCGGCTCTGATGCTGGCGCACAGCAACACAAGGTTTTTGCACGGGCCTGAAACTGTTAGGGTGTTAGGGTTTAGGTGCTTCGGGTTTTAGGGTTTAGGGTTCTAGGGTTTAGGGCTTTAAGGGTTTAAGGTTCAATGTATAGGGGCCTGCTGAAGCTTTCATTGCACAGCTTCACCTGCCCAAAACCTACTTTTTTGGTAGGTTCTTACAAGAAGCCCTAACATGGGATTTATTAGGGACCCTGCAAAGGCGTAGGTCCTGGTGGGTTAAGGTCCCCCTGATGAGCCGCCCGAGCCTTAAAAGGGTTAGAATTAGAACAAGGACCGAAGCATTAAAAACGGTGTTTTTTGATCGGGGGAGTTTCGGGTTCCGCAAAGCGGTTTCGACTCACACACTCGCACAAGGCTAGGGTTTAGGGTTGTTGGAGGCTTTATAGAAAAGCATCGGCCAAACAAATAAACTTAGGATTCTCAAAGACCCCAATCCAACCGGACAAAACTTGGGCACCCTTCTTGAGAAGCATGTTCTCGTTCAAGATGGCATCAGCCAATCCATCCACCAAGAAGAGCTTCCACATGCTGCCTTCTGCAAGGGCCATGTCCCGCGCGGTCTAATTTCCCGCGGTGCTAATTTCGGGGATGTCGTTGACAGTCAAGGCGACCTTGTAATTGAAAAGCTGGATGTTTTCCAATGGCGGTGTGGAGGGCACCAAGAAGCTCCACGTCCCATCCTCCTTGATACGTGAAAGGAAGCCTGTCTCATAGGCTTTCTGCACATCCTCGATGACGACCTCCAAGATCCAGAAACTCTGCTCAGCATCATCCAAGAACTTTCTGGCCAAGTCGGTGTGTGGGCGACGAAACTGCACACTCTTCGGCGTTTCAGTGCTGTCACTGAGCTTGATGCCACAGCTTAACTGTGCTCATGAAGGATAATTACCCATGGAGCCTGAGGGTTTGGAGGCTTCTAGACTGGCCATACTAAGAACATGATACGGAAGCTATGGAAGGGTACTGCGAAGGATTCGGGCCCTACAGTAAGTAAAGCTTTCAAGGCGCAAAGCCCTGGACCCTACGTACATAACCCAAGCAGCAAGCTCAAACCTAGTAGCAAAGCTCCTACTGACCTCCCGAGTACTAAATTAAATCCAAAGACACCGACACTGCGAAGCACTAGTGGTTCAAGTGCGCAAAGTCCTCTTTTGGCGGTACATGGAATGTATCCTTCTAACGACATACTCTAGTATCCTGAATAACCAGAATAAGGCTTTGGGGTGGTAACTGTGAAAAAGTCATCATACAGGTTAAATGTCAAAAGCATGGTACCTTTAGGAAACCGCGTTGTATGACTCTAGTCTTAATGCAGCGCCCTATAGTTTTCGGGAACCCAAAACAGCGCCCTGGCTTTGACAACCACCCATATAGAGTATAACGGAGCTCTCAAGAATCCTACACGACGCGGTCCCCGAGTAGCCACCTTTTCGTGCTGTGCAGTGTTGAAAGTAAGAGCTGTAGCAGGATTTAAAAGCAGAGAAGTACAAAAGATACTACTTGGGAACCTAAACCCTAAACCTTGTAAAGCGCTGAATGTAAAATCAAGCAGCTAATCGCACTTCGGCCTGTTCGAAGACCTCTCGCAGAGGGACCGGAATCCAGCAATCTTAGGGTCTAGGGCTCAGGTTGTAGACGGTTTAGGGTTTAGGGTTCAGGGTGTAGAGTTTAATAATCTCTGCAGCCCTGCTTGGGGTGTAGGGTCTTCATAGTAGCCCCCTTTAGTGCAGAGCAAACTCCTCAAAGCTGAAGAAACTTGCATGTGTTCGTGTGATGCTTGGAGGCATCTCAATGGCCGCTGAAGTATCCAAAGTTCGCTTAGAATAGAAACCCAGAGGACTGGTATTTGCAAAGATTTCAGGGTTTTGTATTCCGAGTTCTTGGATCACCACTACACTTCACTCTGCACCAACAATTGTAAAACCTTGTCCCTTGAGCTTAAAGCCTCGAACAACAAGCTTTAAAAAACCCAAACCCTACAGATCGTAAAACCTGCGCGCGGGAGTCCCAAACCCTAGAACCTCGGACCTTGCTCTAAAAAAAAACCCTTAGCCTCACACCCCCAGGCCAAGCTTTAGCAACCCGGCGAATGATGCCGTTCTCTCTTGAGCCCAAACGTTTTCGGGCTTAGGGCTTAAAGTTCCTTTTTGGGACTACCTTATAGGATACTAAATATAAACCATAAAAAGGAACTACTTGGGGGCCTATGGGTAATTATGTGTCGGACCCCTCACACGCCGTACATGCCGGAGCTCGATCCCCGCGAATCAAAGCTCGAAGAACCCCCAAACACCTAAAACCTGCGCCGCAGTTTGTATCGGGGGCAGAAGAGCTTCAGGCATATGCCTCGCCCGAAACAACCCTAAACCCTAAACC